CTATTCTCATGACCAAGACTGAATTGATTATTCAAGGAAATTTTCGTTCGGATTCTTTTATTGAAATGGGGGAGAGTTCTTATAAGATTGTATACTCAACTGGTTAAGGATTAGTGGAGGATTTGTATTTCTATAAGAGCTACATGAAATATATGAAAGAACTGATGAAAGTCCCATTTCTGTAATTATATGACATGAATGAATTTCGAGGACGAAATTCTTTTAAGGAGAGGAGAATTGTAACACCCTAATTTAGGGGCTAAATTTTAGAAATTATAAAGTGGTTAATTTAATTGGTATTTTGGAAGAAATTGATGATTAAATTGTAAAATTTCAAAGTTGACAGACCGTTTTATAAAGTGTAGGAAATTCAATGGCTAAACTCAGAGTTTAACCATTTTTCTTTAGGAGAAAATATAAACTCCTTCCCCGTGTGCAGTTTCCAATTTCCCTTCTCCTTCTCCTTCAACCCTCATTTCAACTCCGATCTACTTATCGTCCGACCTCCGATCGACGAACCGAAACCACCATCATGTTCATTGTCGACCGATGAACAAAAACCCTCAAACCTTTCATCGTGAATCGTCGTCGTTCGTCGTTAAATTCAGTTGGAACTATCATCGATTTTAACTCGATTTCAGTTGGTTTTTCGTCGATTCACGTCGATCCGGCTATCCGTTTTCGACACCTCCCGCATCATTGTGTTCCTTACATCGTTTCGAGTCCACCGGTGCCCTCCGTTTTTCCGTCGTCGCCGGTGAGTGGAAGGGTGAGAAAGTCAACGTTTTCGATGTTTCGGAATCGAGCTCTTCGCCGTTCAAAATTGTAAACCGAGCTTGGTAAGTGTCTCAAAATGCTTTTAGTTTATCAGATCCTGTGTTTTCCTCCCTTGTTTTTGTTAAGAATCCTTTGAGATCGTTAAAGAACAATTATTTGTTAGGTTCATTCTGTTTCTAGATCACTTGTCCCTTTGCCTTATATATTTTTTCAATTACATATGTAGATTTTCTTCATCAAGGACATTCTGTTCTTTGTAGTTTACTAATGGTTGGGCTCCAAGATTTCCATTTGTAGATATGTATTGCAAAATTTGTGTAAAATTTACTACTTTCCTGTAATCAGAAGAGAGAATTTGATATTTTTTGTTCCTGCAGAAATTTAAGCCGCCTCCGATGTGCCTTTGTTGAGGTAAATGATATCCGTTTTGCAATGGATGAGTTACCAGAACATGTGGTTTGGGAAATTTTAGGCAGGATTAGGAAAACTGAGGACAGGAACTCTGTTTCATTAGCGTGTAAAAGTCTTTATGAAATGGATAACGAACAGAGAATTTCTCTTCGAGTTGGTTGTGGATTAGATCCTGCAAATGAAGCTTTGGCTTCCCTTTGCATTAGGTTTTCCAACTTAACAAAAGTCGAAATCACTTACTCTGGTTGGATGTCCAAACTCGGCAAACAAATGGATGACCAAGGGCTCTCAGTTCTTGCTGGCTACTGCCCTTTACTAAGTGATTTCACGTTAAGCTATTGCACGTTTGTCACTGATATCGGCCTCCGTTACTTGGCTTCTTGCTCGAAGCTTTCAGCTTTGAAGCTGAACTTTAACCCAAGAATTACCGGCTGTGGCATACTATCCCTTGTTGAAGGTTGCAGAAGCCTTGCCATTCTCCATCTTATTCACTGCCTGAACGTGAATAGTGTTGAGTGGTTAGAATATCTTGGCAAGCTTGAAACTCTTGAAGATCTTTCTATTAAAAATTTTAGAGTAATTGGGGAAGGTGATTTGATAAAGCTAGGACCGAGTTGAAAAAAGATAGAACGGTTGGAAATTGAGGTGGATTCTAATTACCGCTACCTGCAAGTTTACGACCGGTTGGCTGTAGAACGATGGCAAAGACGGTGGATTCCATGTGAAAATATGTAGGAGCTTAGGTTGGTCAATTGCATCATCAGCCCTGGAAGAGGGCTGGCTTGCGTATTAGGGAAGTTCCGAAACTTGGAGAAAATTCACTTGGACATGTGCATTGGAGCAAGAGACTCAGACACTGTAAGCTTAGCACAAAAGTCTAGTAATCTTCTGTCAATATCTCTCCCTGTTCCTTCTGATTTCTCACAGCCTTTATTGATGAACAATCCATTAACATTAACTGATGAGAGTCTAAAAGCCACTGCTCAGAACTGTTTGATGCTTGAAATGTTGAGGATATCTTTCTCTGATGGATAGTTTGCTCAATTTTGATCGTTTACTTTAAATGGAATTCTTAGTGTGATTCAAAATTGCCCTGTCCGGGAACTTGCTCTTGACCATGTCAATTCCTTTACTGATATTGGGATGAAAGCTTTATGCTCAGCTCAGCATTTAGAAACCCTGGAGCTTGAGAGATGCCAAGAAATAAGCGATGAGGGGTTGCAGCTAGTAAGTCAGTTTCCCTGTCTCCGTGTTTTGCAGCTGAGAAAATGTTTGGGGATTACAGATGATGGATTCAGAACTCTTTTTGTTTCATACAAATCGGATTTCTTGGCTGTTGACGATAGTTCTCAAATTTCTGAAAGAGCAATCTACGGTGCTGCTAGATCGATATCATTTGGGCAAGATTTGTCATGGATGTATTGAACGTGGTAAGTATAATTATGAGGTTTCTTTTGTTTGTGCCTTCTGGTTTTAGATTTCATTGAACATTTCTAGACGTTGCATCTAATTCATGTATTATCTTTACATGTAACAGTTGATAATAACAATGTATATAATTTCTATATGCTATATTGTAGTATTGATTGTTGAAAATGATATCTTTTGGTAAGAAAAATGAGAAGAATATTGAGCCTGGCATCTTGGCATTGTTGAGCCGTCAAGTATTTCACATGTTCTTTCCAAGTTCTTCTGTCGGTTCAGTTGACTAAAGGAAATGAGGGTTGAATTCAGGGATTTAAAGTAAGGCTAAAGGCTCAACATTTTTAGGACAAAAGACCCCATATTTTTCATTTGTTGATTAATGATTACTATCTACGGGAAGGGTCTTTTTGCTAAAATAAAATGTTGGGAGATAAAATACCTTAAAAAAACAAGAAGTGAAGAGTGACTATTTAATCTACATATTTTTTGTCATTATTCCATAAATCTAATCCTTGTGGCTTCACGAAAAGCTCTACAGGTCAAACTACGATGCTGGAAATTCGTTAAAGAACTTTTAGTAACTTTGTCAAAATTTCGGACAACAAATAATGAGGTAAATCACTCAAGTTTTTTACTAGGGACGAGAAGAAATTTGCGGGGTTTATTTTGAAATTTTTAATTGTTTGGAATTTTAACAAAACAACCTTCTATAGTCGGGATATCATTTTTATACTTTATCTTAAATATATTTGATAGATTTAATAATTTATAAATGAAATATATATGTTAATTTAATTAATATCATGATAGTAATTTAAAACTTGTAAATTCAAACACATTTAAATGTATAATATATTTTACCTTATTAGTAAAAAAATTATAAAATGTTAGAAGAATCGTCTAATAATAATGTACTCTTAGAACGTTTTGACATCGGACCCATGGAGACTGGTTGGATGTCACTTGTGCTTCTCTCTTTCTTACTCTTCCATCATTACATCATTTGGAAAAATAAATAAATGCCCGCACTTTATATAAACAATGGTTAAATATTTAAAAGAAAAAATAAAATTAAAATAGTATAATTATATATACAATTTTTGTATAAGATAATGACAATGATATATTATTATAAAATAAGGTAATATCTAGTTACACAATGTAAAACTAAATTATTTTACATTAATTTATGATTGTTTAATGAATAAAAATAGATGACTGGAATTAACAGTAAGAAATAAAAAAATATTCATTGGAAAAAATAATGAGATAATATCAATTGTCTATTTCCACACGTCTAATGATCATAAATCATATAAAACTATATATTTTTTTACATTATGTTAGTGGATTTTAATCCTTATAAAACTATAGAATTAATTAATGAGGTGTAGTCATTTGATTCACAAATAATATATTTATTGTTATCTTAAATATTACCCAAATATCAAATAATTATTTTTTAAAAACAATTATTATCTCTAATTAGGGAAAAAGGAACTTTACTCTTAATAGGTAATGTACCCACAACCCATGGAAAAGGGGATTTATCAACTGAGAATTTTTAATCATTTACTTTAAGAATTGTTGACACAAATAACTAATCATAAATGTGGTTTTCTTCTTTTTTTTATATAAAAAAAAACTTGCATGTGAAATATGAGTATTATATTGCAGAGAAGTTGCATTATCTATAACCTTCTGTCAGCACAAAGGGAAAGTTATGGCTATTTTATAAGGGGCCATTGGCAGCAGGCAAGGCAGGGTGAGTATGTTCCCGAAAACCTAACAAAATAAATAAATGAAAATAAATAGAAAAGCTTGGTTCTACACACTACAGGTAGAACCGAATGTGTTGGAGTGAGTAGTACATAGTATTCTTCCAGGGTTTTGTATATGTTCCCATTGCCTTTGAAAATGACAACACAAACATATCTCATTTACATCTTCAAATGAAGATCATATAGTAAAAATTACTATTTTAGAAACGATTTTAACTTGGTATTTATAATTAAAAGTCGACGTCATTCCTTAAAATTAATATAGTTCTCTTAATTTTGTACCCATAAAAAGAAAATGAAATTCGAGAAGATTAAGAAACTATGAGAGCAGAACGAGTACATTTAACTCTATCATGTATCACAATTAGAGGAGGGAGAGATTCAGGGTTTAATGGTAATTAGGGCTTCAAAGTTCACATGATAATGTTTCATGTCGACAAAGAAAGATACAATTATTGTGTGCATTGATAGAGGAATTGTAGAGTTAATTTTATGGTACTAAAAGTAATATTAAATATAAAACAAGACAAAGGAGAATAGAGAAATGAAAGATGAAGAAAGCAACATGTTGGCTATGACCCAATGGCTCCCCTGATGTGGAAACTCATTTTCCTCCACTCTCTTGCTTCAACTATTCCTTTCACCTCCCCCCCCCCCTTTTATAATTTATTGCCTTATTTAGCAAAAGATAATTAATCTGCATCCATCTCAACGATATGTCCAGTGAAAGAGGGAAGGACATAGTTGAAGGATCATCAAGGGGTGATCAGCCCCCCACGCCTAGCCGCTATGAGTCACAGAAGAGAAGGGATTGGAATACTTTCGGGCAGTACTTGAAGAACCAGAGGCCCCCAGTCCCTCTTTCTCAGTGCAACTGCAACCATGTCCTTGACTTCCTTCGGTACCTGGATCAGTTCGGCAAGACCAAGGTCCACCTCCAGGGCTGCATGTTCTATGGACAGCCTGAGCCTCCTGCCCCTTGCACTTGCCCCCTTAGGCAAGCTTGGGGCAGCCTCGATGCTCTTATTGGCAGGCTTCGAGCTGCTTATGAAGAGAATGGAGGGTCACCTGAGACCAACCCTTTCGCCAGCGGTGCTATTCGTGTTTATCTCAGAGAGGTCAGGGAGTGTCAAGCTAAGGCAAGGGGTATCCCTTATAAGAAGAAGAAAAAGAAGCCGACTCAAGGCAAGGGAACTGATGAATCCACCTCCACCATCCACTTTTCTTGATTCTTTGGACCCCTATATGGTAAATTGTTCTATCATCCTTAATCTCACTACCTACTTTCACTTGCAGACTGCTAGATCTAGGAAGCTGTGCTATTATTTTCATGCCATTAGATCATTTCTGAACTAAAACACTGCTTTGTTGAAGGCTACCGAGTACTAACATACAAACCAACAAATTAAAACTAATCGTTTACCTGTTTGGAGGCAAACCAGATAAAAATCAACCAATTCTCATCATTATAAACACCTCATTTTCCTTTGCCTCTCACCCGAAATTTACAACATTCAAGAACCCTAATCAGCATTTATAGTGACATGATATCAGAATACATAGGAACGATCTGAGGATGTTTCCAGATTAGCTTTTATACTAGCTAGCTAGGTATTTCTATTCTTATGGGATGGGATATTTATTTCTAGTAACAACAAAAAGCTGCCCAGAAGTATGCAAAACCTGACTGAAAATATTCGCTCAATGTAATGTTAGTTACTTGATGAAAACTTTTCCCCATTTAAAGATTCTGCAGATTATGTGGCGCCATGAATGGTCAAGTGAGATGCATAAATCATGCACTTTTCCATGTTTGCAAATATAAAATATACAAATGATTGACAGCAAACGGCTGTTGAAAGTTTAAGGTTTCTCAACGGATCACCTTAGATAATATATTTTAGTGTTTATCCTTGCCTTTTGCTCAATTGAATTAACATAATTAGAATCTTCATGCAGGGATGTTCTGAAATGCCTGACTCATTAAATTAACATTTGCTTTCTTTAACCTTAACAATAACAACAATTTAACTGATGCCCCACCTTATATATATATAGTGCAGAAGATCTTTGCAAGGCTAGTTTTGAGATTTTGCATTTCTGCATTAATAAATTAATTTTGTTGTTGCCTTTTGTACCTTCCATAGATTTTCATGTTCATGTTTTTACTCCTTAAAGTTCTACCACCTCACGTGTTCTTGTCGTTCTTCTTCGCCATCATCAAATGCAAAACCCTTTCCCCCGCACCTCATGTTGTTTTTCTATACCTCACTTGAACTTGTAGACAGCAAATTATGTTTCTTTTGAACAATGATTCATATGAATGAAAGATATCGCAGATCATGTGCATTTCCTTTATATATTTTCATTGAATTTGTTCTACTTATAATGCAATTTGCATCTCCATCTTCATACGTAAATCGAAGATTCAGAAACTTCTTTGCATTTCCTATATATTTTCATTGAATTTCTTCTACTTATAATGCCATTTGCATCTCCATCTTTCGTCTTCGGACGTATATCGAAGATGGGAAACATCTCTGCATTTCCTATATATTTTCATTGAATTTCTTCTACTTATAATGCCATATGCATCTCTATCTTCCGACGTAAATCGAAGATGGAGAAACATCTTTGTATTTCCTATATATTTTCATTGAATTTCTTAATTTATGTCATTTCTTTTTTCCTGAAATCATGGTTAATTCGTTATAAAAGGTTAAACATTCCTTTCTTAATAACAAGGAACATGTAGAGCAGCCTTTATGATCCGTTTTCAATTTTACATGAATATATATATATATATACTCAAATATTGAAAGGAATAAGGTACTTAAGTTTAAAATAATAAAATTTATTATGTATTTAATCTAAAAAAAATTAGAGGGGATAAAAGTTTATTTTTACTTAAATTTAAACTTATAAGAACCTAAAATGCTATTAAACAAAAACAATTGGGAGGAACAAGAGTCTCTCCCACACTCTATACAAATCCGTCTCTGGTTAGGATTTTATCGAGAATCTCCTTTTCCGACATGTATAATTAAACCTTTAAAAAATATTATTTGGGCATAAAAATTAAGGAATAATTTCTCTTATCCCTCCTACCTTATTAAGGCATGCAACATTATTAAATTTGTAATTTCTTGAGTTTTTTTTGTAGAATCTATAAATTAGATTATGTCAAATAATTAAATATGAAATGATCTATATTTATTTGTAAAACATTTTAATGAGATTATATTATAATCAAGTGTATCGATCATGTATATATACATTGTTAGCTTGACTCGAAAAGAATTATATACCGTGACATCTACTGTTTTTATTATTATTATTATTGGTAGGAGGAAGGAGAAGGTCTTGTCAGAATCGAATTTAAGAATTAATATCAATTGAAGCTAGTGTTCAATTGAAATTTTTTTGTCAATGCACCATAGACTTGGTTGATTGATATTTACTAACAAGACATTAGAGATGGATCGAATGGGGCGGATGGGGACAATCATTCTTCTTGAAAATTTTAAATTAGTATATATTTTAGAAATATATATATATATATATATATATATATATATATATATATATATATTTATTTTCAATTGATAATATGTTTTCATTTATTAAAATTTTATAAGTTTGCTTCATTCTAAAAGTTTGTAGGTTCATTTCCTTAACCTAAAATTTTATAGATTTGTATAATGAAAGTGTATTAAATATAAATCATATATGAATATATAAACAAGGCTTGCAACTTGGGGAAGTAATGAGATATAGTTTGATGCAGGGATTAGACGAGAAGAGAATCAAATGGGAGGGATCATAATATGATTAAAGCTATTGAAGATTGAGCCGAGTTTGATTTTATGTTTGGTATTTGGCAAAAGCCATAATCAAGGGAAGAGTTGGGTGTCTATAATTCTCTTGATCAATTGTGTTTTTCTTTTATCTGATAAATATGATATAAATATAAAGTAATATATGTTCAAAAACTTTAAACTTTTGACAATAAAGGCTCATACTCTTACATACATAATGTTTGAACTCGAGACTTCAAGAGATAACAATAAATCTCTAAATCGCGGAGGTCGCTTAGTTCGTGGTGTGTTTTTTTCTATTTTTAAGAATGTTCATTTTCTGCCTAGGAAATATGTTGATATCTTTGTAATCATTGTATGAATAATATCCTGTAATCTTAAATGTGGATGAGCAGATTCGTCCTAAAAGATGAGTAGATCTTGTGCTATTTTTTAAAATGAGACCTTTAAAATATTTTATAATAAGGTTTAATTTGTCAAATTTAAAATTATAAGGGATCTACGAGGTCTTTTTATCAAAATTCATCATGAAAAAATGATTAAAAATACTATCAAAATCTTCGTTTACAACTTTCTCGGCCACTTTCTTTTAAATAAATATATTGTTAGAACACAAAAGTTATATATGAACGAGTCTAAATGTCATTCATGTATGAGACAATTAAATTTTAAGATCTCATGACATATCAACTTATATTTATACGTGGACGGAAGTTGGCATTACTTTTACCAATGTAAGATAAGATCAGAGGAAGAAGTCGTCACTCTTTATGTAGTTCTCATACCTCCATCAGTTATTGTGCCGATGGATAAAACAAGAATCAGATAGAGACTACACCTATTCAAAGGTTTATGGAGACTTGTTTCATATATAGAAATATATACACATCAATCTGTACGTAATTAAATCCATGTTTCTTCCTAAACGAAGGCTTCAAGGGAATTGTGAAGGCATCATATTAAAGTGCTTAAACGAAGTTTGGGTTTGAAACTGATATTTCCCATTGGAAGAAAGAGATTTGCTAACGTTATGATTTTTTTTTGGACCAGCTCATGAAATTACGATCAAAACAGTAATAAGCATGAGGTCTGTGAGATAGGAAAGGCCGTATAGATAGAATGTAGGGATTAGGGTTTTGAATTGTAACAAGTGTAACAGATTTTATATATTTTTCATCATAGTAAACGTTTTTTCTCATGACCTTTTTTTTTTAGTTTTCCACGTAAATTTTGATTTATTTTATTTTATTATTCGGTCATATTCATTTGTTATTAATCGTTCCAATAATTATAACATGTTACTTAGAGGGGGCGCAATGTTAAGAGCTCTTTTTCTTAAGTGAAACTGACTTGGCAACATCCATTTTTGAGGGACCAAGCAACAGAGAATAAGTGTAAGAATATAAGGGATGCAATACAAAAACGTCCTAAATAACCGATCCATTTACACCCAAAACTGAACCCATCCCTTGAATTCATTGGCATAATGAATATTTGGTTGTTTTATAGTGTAAATGTCAGAAGATGAAGGATTAAAGTAGTAGGTTGTGACTGCATCTAATTACATTCAATGTATCCCTGTGCTGAGGATTGAACATTTTGTCTTTTTACATAACTCTTATCTTCATTGGATTAATCAATTAATTAGTCTTTAATAATTCCGAAAACTTGACTAATAGGCACCTACTCCTATTGCCATACCCTTTGGCATCGGGAAAACGGCCTGCACCCTTAATATTTTTTTATAATTATTGGTATTTGATTTATTGATTGATTAATTTAGATAAAGTATCGTAGAGACTTGATGACCCTCAAAATCTTATTTACTCTATTTACAAATGTTAGTCTGTCCTTATTTAAGAGATCTAATATTTCATCTCACTAAATCAATTAATTGTTAGTATCTATACTATTAATTTGATAACCGATTTGATACCGTTACAACAAATAATGGCAATCAAAAGAAACAAAACTAAACGTAAAATTAAAGAGTAGAATTGAAGCATCGCCAAGTTATCATGCGGATATCGCTTAGATAAACAGTTAATTGAAGATAAAATAGTATAATAATGATAATAATATTTAAATATTATTATAAAAATTAAAGATAAAATTCAAGTTTCGTTATTTCTAGGATTGTTATAAATATATCAATTCTAAAAAATAAAAAAATATTAAAATAATATAAAGAAATGTATATAAATAAATATTTGATTTTTGACTGAACAAATGATTGGAAACGAATTGAAGCCTGTAAATACACAATTTTTTAAGATTGATTTTCGATCAATCTTTGGTGTTTGGAATTGTCGTTCACCTGTCTCTCATGATACAACAATTAGATGATCAGCTACAATAACACAAATACAAAGATCATGAACTATACCCTTATCTGTTCCTATCATCGGAAAAACCAGAGGAGAAAAAAGTTTTTTTTCTTTCAAGTTGTTTGAGTTCTTGAATTGTAAAAAACTATCAAATTATGCTTAACCCAGAAGTTTTGCATGATATTTGTAGGGATTTCTCTTAGGTAATAAATCCATAATCTATCTTAACTAGTGATGACGGAATAATTTATTTTCCTTTAGTGTAAGCCTCACATGAAATTGTTCTTCCATGGATGATCATATAAAGTGTCAATTATTTTTCACATTATAATTAAATCGGGATGGTCTAACTGGTCATATTAAATAATAAAAGTTAGCTTTAAGTATGAATACTTATTTTACATTAAAGCTTTCAACAAAAGTGAAAACATAGTTAGATAAAATCTATACAAAAGTGAGCTTTAATGTAACATAGATTTTGAGCTTAATTGTTTATATTCATTTGTAAAACACTTGTGAGCTTAATTGTTTATATTGTTAAATTGTTATTTGGGTGAGAATTTATTTGCCGTATGAGATTTTTCTTTAGTTCTCTAAATTTGTATTTACTCTTTAGAAGAATGTGTATCTAAGGTTTAAAGTATAACCTTGAGATATTTGTAAAGTTACATTTTTTTGTCCGGGTCTACAAAAATATTATTAATTATATTATTATTATTATTATTTACATTTTGCAGGCCAATGTAGCACAACAATACAAGCCCATATACCAACCCAATTACAAGCAAAACCCAGCGCTCAACCCAACCCGAAGGGGACCAGAACCGAACCGACCCGACTTAAGCCTGATAGTCCCCAAACTCGACTGACCCAGACACAAGACCGAGGCAAAACAACCAAGATCTGACCCAACCCAATTATGATTTCTGAAACCCTAATCCTAGACAACTAATATCGCCTCCTGTTGCTTTTGTCGCCACCGTTCCAGCAGTATCGTATCATCTGTCAGCCCATCAGTCAAAACAACTCCATTAAAGAAATGAAAAGCAAATCCAATGTAGATCCCATTAGATCTCTAGTTATCAGAAATCACAAAGGGGCAAATTGAAAGAAGAGAAAAAGGAAATAAAAAGGGGGACACTGCAGAACATTAAAAAAAGGATGAGGGAAAACATTTAAGAGGAAAAAGAGGGAGATCGAACAAAAAAAACACTTAGAGTCAAACCAAAACAACAAAGCCGAGAGAGAAAAAGGAAAACAAGGAGAAAATTGTACCTCGTTTGGAGATCTAAATGCCCGAATGTCACCATTCTTCAAAATTTTCAAAGGTATAAAAACCTAGATCTAAGACTTTAGGGTAAGAGGGTTGAGTTTCAGGTTGAGGACGTAAAGGGGAGGCTTTTGGGACCGTTTGCTCCCTCCGACCATCGTGATTGCCGCTGTGCGCCACCGACAGCGGCGGTTGATACCTTCACTGATGAGAGAGTTGAGAGAGTTGAGAGAGTTGAGAGAGTTCTCTCTCTATCTGTTTTTTTTATGAAATGAGAAAATGAAGAAGGATAGCCTTATTTTGGGCTTATATAATACATCCAAAATGACGTCGTTTAGGCCAAGAGGGTCTACGTGTTTTTTGGAAATGGTAAAATAGCATTTTAGGTCCCTACGGCTTTGTAATCTCTTGATTTGGTCATTAAATGATAATGTTATTCTGTTTCAGGCATGTATCTTTTAATACTTACATTTAAGTCACCAGTTTAGTTGTTATACCATTCTTGTTTATGTTTAAATTTGGCAATGAAATTTATAAATATTTTATTTTAGCCACTACTTGACATGTGGTTTAATTATGGTTTGGTCCTTTATGTTTCTGCTTATTTCATTTCGGTCCTTAGTATTATTTATGGAGAAAATAACTTCAGTGACCAAAAATCCCAGATAATATACGATTTTGACCAACTTTTATTGGATTTGCGAAAATGACCAACAAAATCGCAATGCGATCTCTAATTCACATTGCGATCTCTACTATCGCAAATTCGCGTTGCGATAGTTGGAAATCGCGTTGCGATAGTTGGAAATCGCGTTGCGATTTTCCATTTCGCGTTGCGATAGTTGAAAATCGCGTTGCGATTTTCCATTTCGCGTTGCGATAGTTGAAAATCGCGTTGCGATTTTCTATTTCGCGTTGCGATTTTCCATTTCGCGTTGCGATAGTTGAAAATCGCGTTGCGATTTTCCATTTCGCGTTGCGATAGTTGAAAATCGCGTTGCGATTTTTCATTTCGCATTGCGATAGCCTACAATCGCGTCACATTTTGTTTCTTAAGAATTTTCTCAAAAAGGTAGTATCCGCGCGGACGTGTCGAAGACACGTATTACCACGACCACGACACGACCCGACCCGACCCGACCCGAGACGGACGGACGGCGGCGGCGGCGCGCGAGAGTCCCCCTTGTTCTCTATCACTCAACAAGGAAGTGGGAAAGCCAAGCCTTAAATACCATTCCCAATAGTATTTCCAATACTATGTGGGATTTGAGCATTACCAACACTTGTTCCCAATACTATGTGGGATTGAGCCTTAAATAGTGAAATTATTTTTGAATGTTTTGCTTAAAATTGTAATAACCGCGATTGATTGTAGATTGACTTTTAATTATGACATATTTAATCGTATAATCTAATGCAATTGGTTGCTGATTCAGTTGTTTTAAGGTGCATGATTGTTAATTGTTTCCTGAATAATCACATTGTATTGGAAACAAGTGTTGGTAATGCTCAA